ATGCTTTTGTGCCTCTTATCACTCCAACCATCCGTCATATCTTTGCAACCATATACACCCTACGTATCTCTGTGGGTCCTTAAATAATTATTGTTTATCTCTACTTCTTTCGTGATTATTGTCCCTTTAAGCTCATAAGCAGATGCAGCCTTCAACCCTAGCCCCCCAAATTGGCCCATTGCTACCAACATAGTCTAGAAGCTACTTAAGTTAGTGGCATTAAAAGAAATGCCTATTTGGAACAATCACCTCCCCACATATTGGATCACCTTATCTGTATCTTCTTTCTTAAAATGTGTCTCTAGGCTTGTTTGACCGTTTTCTCGTGGTAGTACCTCATGATCAGGGTGGGGGAAGAAAGCATCCATGGCCCTCTTGTTTTTTGGCCTAGTTGAAGAACCAACCTCAGTATAGAAGTCTTCTTCTTCTCCTCGAACTCCCAAAACTTCGACACTCCTTACATGTTCATCTTGTCTTATTCTCACCTCCTGTTTCGTGTTTTTCACCCCCTTCAAGTGCTCTAGCATCTCTCCTCTGACCTCAGTAGGCACTAGAGTGCATGCAGCCACATCCCCTCTAATGCCGACTAAATGCTTCTTTAATCTGTTGATGCCGGCATTATATGATTTTTTACAAAACTTGCACTCTACCCTATTCTTGTCAAGGGGATGTGGACAAGTTTCATACTTCCTTCCAACGTGGATCACTTGGCCTACTTGATGCTCTAGAAGTCATTATCCTCAATTAAATAATAAGTGATTGAGCATCAATGTGAATCAAAATCACCTAATTAACGTACCTGTAAAATACACAAGATTAAAGAATTAACTATTAAGAAAAACATAAAAAACTCGATTTAAGTTTTAAATGAAGATATAAAAAGCATAAGAAGCTCGATATGAGTTTTAAATGAATATATAAGATGTGAGTTTAACAATTTACAGCAAGACTTAACTCAATAAGATATCACATAATTAAGATATATAACATCACTAAGATGTTAGTTTTAAAACAATAACAATTAGTTTTACAGGAAGAGTTAAACGAATATATAAGATGTTAGTTTCATATTTATTAGTTTATCAAATAACGTAAAACAAAAATAATAGAATATCAAAACATCACACATTGTACAAAAAAGGAATCAATTATTCATATAAGAATACGATATATGCCCAATTTCATCGTCCAAATGAGGAAAAATTCAATTAATCACAAAAAATTCAATCTTGCAACTGCAAACATGTAAATATATCATAAAAGAAAAAAGAAGTAAAAGAAAAACAAATGATTCACAACATAATACGTTATAAAAAATTCAAATCAAAACCCTCATTCATATATGATAACACTTTAAAAATATTTAAATCAAATCGTTGTCGGTGCAAACCTCGTCTATACGGTTTTGGTTTTGAGGGTTTAGAATATCCTCCAAAATCCTTTGCCCCCTTTTTAGGGGGGAAGATGACAAATTTTGACCCTCAATGACGGTTTTTTCTGCCTTTTTCCAAACTGTCTTGAGGTGGCGCCTAGGCGGCCACCTACACTGTAGCACCTAGGCGGCTGCCTTGACTGTAGCACCTAGGCAGCGCCTTGCCCGCCTAGGTGGGTGTCTAGACGCAGGCCGCCTAGTAGTCCTGCCTAACTAACGTCTAGGCGCTTTTAAAATTTTTCCATCTAGGTGGCTTGGCAGCCGAATTTTTGAACATTGGTCTCGTGGTATGGAGTTTGTTGTATGAGAGCTGGTAGTGCCTGGGATCCTGGTATTTCCTTGCTTGTAGAAGAAAGAGGTCTGCCTCGTCTTCGACCGTCCAGTATGTTAGAGTGTCTCGCTTTGCTCGACCCTCACCTGCTGAGGGAGAAATGGTTCTCACGCTTACAGACAGTGAACTCACCGATGAGCACACCAAGGGACAAGCATGAGTTAGAGGGCTTGGTCTTCATCTGCTTGTCTTTCCTCAGGCAGCAGCATTTCATAAAGGTTAAAAGATGAATGCTCCTCCTCTAAAGTTTGGGCTACATACATGCGAGTCTCCAAGGGTTTTGAAAGACAGTGCAATGATAATATTCTGTTTGGCAACAACAAGAAAGAGGTCAAGGTTACGATCCTGAAAGGTGGAATTTCCCAAACCATGAGCCAAACCAAATCTGACTTTGTTACCTTTTTTGGCCCTGTAGCCCATGTTGCTGCGAGACTAGCTAAAACTAGAAATAATAAGGCACCATTATCCTGAGGATCGAAAAACTCTCCGATCTTCATCTCCAAAATTGCCCGACTTCATGTGCAGTATGAATTAAGTCCTCCTGAGCCATGTTCCTGCCCTTCGATTACTTTATACTCGCGCCAATCCTTTTGCTGACCTGATACCACCAATATTAACACCAGTTAATGCATCCGTAAGCCATCCTTTGAAACCCACTCTCAATGTTGCCACCTTGACCTACCACCCTTCTACCATAACTACATGCATTTGATTAACCCCTCAAAACCTAATGCCCCAGTAAGCTTTGCCTCATTTGCTTCCATTACAGCCAAAAATATCCTCTGTCAGACGTCCAAAAACTCTTTGCAATCCCTTCGAGAAAAACTTTTGCTCCGGGCAAATCTTCACCGAACTAAACGAAACTCCCACCTCTTCCCTACCAAACCCATGGTTTCATTCAAAACTTGATCTCTAACAAACACTCAGGATCACATATAGAGACCAGAGAGCAAAGGTTTGGCTAAGCCCAAATCCAGAACTAGAAGGCTATCCTTTCTTCAAAATTCCTTGGTGGCAACTTCCAACCCAAAGAGAAATTATGTTAGGGGTATACTGAGAGTGACTTCCACTCTGCACCAATTTACTGCAGGGCCCTGCAAAAAGGTGGGTATCTTGTTTCTTTGCCTTGCACAGTTATGCCTCTTGAATTTCTAGCCTTGGAAAACTGATCTCTCAAGGAGGGCGTCTACACCTCAGTAAGTTTGAGGCCTTAGGTGCCATAAAAAAGAAAGGCTTTCGATTTCGGCATAAGGTATTCCAGCCTATCTTTCTTGGTAGTCACTCTCAATTCCAGACTAATTTGGACATGGCCAATGTATCCGGTTGGAAGTCACTCTCAATTCCTTGCGAATTTCCATCCTTTGAGCTGGGCAATAGTTTCTGCTGTTGTTGAGTCAACAATGCCCATGCATCCGGACTGAGATAGTTTGTTATATCCTTGATTATCTCTAAAGATGCCTCCAGGACCTCACTACCACATGTTCTGGCCTCTGATTTTGGCAGCATTTACCATTTGAGGGAATCATTCCTCAACACTTCATGCCTACCTCACTTGTCACTCCACAATTTATTTCTATTTTCATCCCTTGTAACGGACCTAATCCCTTAATATGAATAGCAAAGTATTTGTCATATCATGTTATTCAGTGAATTTCCCACTTCTAAAATCCGTCCTGTCATGGTGATCTGCAGGTGAATGGCCTTCTTTTTCGTGTATTATATTCAACCTTGATTCTCTTTCAAGTTCTCCCTGTACAATTAATTCTATTACTTTATAATAATGGAACATTGATAACAGTTCCTTTTTTTGGAGACCATCTTAATTCCTAGTTCCTAAACTTGTGTGCCTCGCCGACCTGGGGGAGAGCTTTACTTGGCCATCCCATTTTGAAGGATGTCCATTTCAGTAATCTGAATCTCCTAACAACTTTTTGACACCTTTTGCAAAGACCATAGGGATGGCATTTGCTGAGTAGTGTTAGTAAGGGTGATCTTTCTGCTTAGGAGTAAAGCTACATTTCTGACCTTCAAACTTCAAATTAGGATGCAATAATGGTCCTCCCACAAGCACCATACAAAGGGATCAATGGGTAAATGGGAGGCTAAATGTTGTGATATTTATGTGATCTTTGTTTCTGTATACTTACAATATAGCGCTTTTTAATCATTTGTTTCATATGTACATTTGTTTATTAGTGATTCATTCCCTTCATTTGTTGAGAATCTGGTCCAGAACTTACATGGTTTCAAAGAAATAAAGGACTGAATCACTTACAAATGAATGTTACATATGGGACAAATGTGCATACTTCAGAATAAATTACACATGTAAGATCCATGTTTTATTGATTTTAAAGTAAAAATGGTTCTAAGACTGGATGTAACTTTTGACCAAAGTTGTCTAGTGGTTATGATAGGACTCTCTCTATTCTTCTTACTACTTTTTCTCCTATACCTGGCTCTTTATTCTGTTTCTTTTCGCTTCCCCTCCTCTCCCCACTTCGTCTTTCCTCCTTTTGTGCGGGCTTTACCTTTTGTATTGAGCTCCGGACATGTGGGTACTCTGCACCTCTCTCATCTCCCCCTTCCTCTTCTCTTCTGTTCCCCTCTATGCCGTATTCTCCTCCTTACCTCCCTCCATCCCAGGAAAATACTCTTTGTCGCTTCTCTCTACCCTGTCATCACCTCCTCATGATCAACCCCTCATTTGCGCCTCTGTCTCTTGTACAGGAGCCTCTATGGGCATTTTTGATAGAGGATCACTTGTATTTATGTTGGGTGCACAGAAATCAATTTCTGTATGCAGATTTCAACCTGTTGACAGCCATTTTTTGAAGAATGTTCTTATTTTACTTTAGTTAATACGGTCAAATATTCCCTTTAAAGGAAAAGAAGGTTCTAAGATTGGGGTCCAGAGAAAGCATCTTGTGCTAGTGTAGCATTCTTCCTCTTGAAAGAAAAATTCTCAATTATTCCTGGGGTGATCCAATTCTGGAAATTCTTTTCCTCCGTACTTCTTGTTCTAGCTACGAGTGACTCTTCCATAGTGTTTTAGTGATCCAAGAGCTAGATTGCAAACCTAAACATAAAATTCCATTTTTGGGAGACATCTTTTGGTTAGAAGTGAATTGATTGCCAATTGGAGTTCAAGTCCCCTTTTAACCCCTTCCAGATTAACCAAAAGTTGTTTTAGTATTTTTTTGATTTATGGGAAACTGTACATTTAGTAACACATGGGCAGTGTTTTAAAAAGCGTCTTGCCTTGTTACTTAGGAGCTGTTTCTAGTTGGTGGTAGCCCAACTACTAGCTAATCCGGCATGCTAGTAGTGACCCAGTGGTCCAGTCCATCCTAAAACAAGCAATGGGAGGTTAGGTGCAGCTTCTGCAAACCCATGTTCCTCTGTCTTCTCTGGCTATTCCTTTAGCCATGTCCATCTTTCTTTGCTCAGCCCACCATCGTAGCTCAATTAGGTATTTACTAGGCCCAACCAATCCTTCCCTAGGTGGTCCCCATCTATGATCCGCAACTGATACAGTAAAACCTATTTGTCCCCCAGGGTCAGCCCATAGTTCTATAGATTCAACTAGTTTCTAATCATTACCCTCAACTGTAAGGTACCAAACCAACCTATAGCTAGTCACTTGATGAAGCCGGGCTTACAATTTGGGCCAGTGTGTAGTTCAAACAATCAAACTTATATGTCTTAGGCATAAAGCCACAAACAACCCAAATGTATCCCTAGGCCAGTCACCTCTCCACAACCTGATGCAGTTCAACTAGCCAGCTTGTTTGCTTGCTTTGGACTTGTTGGACCTGCTATCAAGGTTAGCTAACTTCTTTCGTTATATATTTTATATTTTTAAACCACTCTTCTTAATTTGTTTAATTTTTTTAAAGTTAGGTCCAATTGGTTTTAGTGGTAGCCAGATCGGTTTTGATTGAGCAAGACCTCTAGCTGGTTTGATAGCCTGTCCAATTCTAATAACACTGGCAAATTTCATTTTATTTTTGGAAAAAGCTTAACGATACCTCAAATGTGTATTCTTAATACGAGCATTAGACACGAGATTTGCATGAACCAAGTCTATGAAACAATGTAAAAATGGGAGAAGTAAAGGTGCAAGAGTTTTGCAAAGGTGTTGCTGTCTTCCATGGTGTCCAAGATACTCCATCCATATATTCCGCATCCATCTTCCCATGGTTTACAGTCCCCCCCTTGATCAAAGCCCTCTCTACCTTTCCTTTCTTCTTCCCGCTTGCCCCCCAGAGCAGGGGGAGACTGTTACTCCCAGATTGTTGTAAATCCTTTGCTACCTCTGCATTTGCCAATTTCATTTCACCTCTGCTACCTCTGCTACCCCAAGAACTAAGACCAATTTAGGTCCATGTGAGATAATGCCTGTAAGCAATTATAAGTATTCAAAACCACACCTACCACCTTTCTACCACAATTACGACTACCTCACTAGACCAACCCAAAACACTCATGTCTCGCAGCCTCTCCCCTTCATACTTCCACCTAACATGAATTATACCTCTCAAATAGCCCTCCAAACCAAAAAAGAAAACACATGGTCCATAAAACATTGCATTAAACTACCTTTCCTTAAGCCTGGATTCCATGCCATAGATGGATATAAGTATGAACACTCCCAGGGACTTGCAAAACAATGCCCTCGACCTTAAACACTACTCCATTCCAGAAAAGCTCAACGCTTTGCAGCAGGCCTTCATTTCTACTTTCTATGCTCTTAGACACGACCTAGAATGTATCAAAAAATGGTTGCTGGTAGTTTCCTGGAACAATATAGTGTATGCAGGGCAGTCACTTTGGGAAATACCTTCTCTTCTCCTCCTCGATGACAATGTACAGAAAGCTTTGTTGTACAATTAAATGTCCTTGAAAGGAACAAATTACATCTCCAACCCTCGTCCAAGTCCTTTGGTTCCTTTGGAAAAGACAGTGCGCGGATCTATGCCATAGAATACTGGTGCACCTATCATCATCATCCGAGCCTTATCCCAACTATTTGGGGTCAGCTAATATTGGTGCAGCTAAGTGGCCAATATACCTTCAAGCAAATAGGCGACCACTTTGGAGGTTTCATTTCTGTGCATTGGAATCTCTCTGCTCATCATACCACGGCCATGGTTATGATTCCAAACTTCGTTTTCATCGTGCCACAAGGTTACATGTATATGCGAGGCGATTCCAGAAATGTAACCGTAAAGCTTGGTGTGGAATCAAGATAGACGGCCCTCCATAATCCATGACCACGAACTTGGGCCTGCAGTGACTAGGGACTAGGATGGTCATACTAGGGTAGCCAGGAGACGCAGACACACACATGGCAGGGACAACAGAAAGAGGAGTTAGACAGCCACTTCGAGTCAAGGACCCACTCAGAATACGGTCATTCTAAATGATGAACAAACACTTGCCCACCTGTGAAAGGCCGAAACCTTCCCCAGACCTGGACATGTAAGTTAGCTTGTCCCCCTTCTCTCTCTTACCTTCAGGCCATGTCCTCATTCCCCTCCCCGACCTCACTCCTGTCGCCCACCTTGAACCCAGACCCCATGCACATTTAAGGAAAGAGGCTGAGTGATCTACAGAATGACATGCTTTCACAATGATAGAACATTGGAAATGCTTTCTTTTATCGTGATAAGCCTTCATTTTTTTGTGTTGTAAAACCCTTTCAAGTTGTTCTCTCCACATAGCTTTAGCAAACAACAAATTTTTTAGAATTCAAAAAACTGAAAAAGTTGGGAGAAGTGTGGTTAGGGAAACACATGTTGGGGCATTGGAGGAAACTGAAGAGGTATTTAATTCCAGTGATTTTTTATTAATATCTTAGGTTGATTATGTTGTGTAATTTTTTATGGTAATAATGTTGTATAATTTTAACTGATTAGTAATTATTTTTTCTGAAATATTTTGTATTACATTTTATGATATTGGGAATTCTAATCTTGTTGCTTTTGCTTAAGTATGTATTGATATTTTTGAGCTTTAAAAATCGTATTTGACAAATTTAATTTGATGACATTGATAGGAGGCTTTTTTGAAGGATTAACTTGAGATTTCATGAATCCTGTCATTGTGTTATCTACATTTATTTGACTAATTTAATTTTATGACATTGGTAAGAGGCTTTTTTGAAGGATTAACTTGAGATATCATGAATCCCATCATTGTGTTATCTACATTTATTTGGTGATTTCTTGTATTTGAAGTTAATTTTATATCCTTTGATACTTAATGCATTTAATGTTCAAGTGCATTTGACGCGTACAATTTCCTTCTTAAGATGGAAGGAATCTCTGTTGCCCAAATGATTATATGCTTTGGCAGGAGCATATGATGCACTCACTCTCTTGGGTAAAACTCTGTGTAGGAGTATTGTTCGGACCCCAAAGTTCTAGGGATGTAACCTCCACAACCTTTCCCAATCTAAAAATATCTAAGGCCCTTTTTATTGCATGAAAATATAATGACGTTGATGTTTTTTTAGACGGTTGGGTCTAAGTGTTTAGAAAATGGAAATGAAAAAGTATATATAAGATCATTTATTTTTGGCACATGGTGGTCACAATTAATCTTCACCATTGGATGGGGAATTAGATAGCTGCATTTATCCATTAACCAGGTTCTAGGTTCGAACTATTTTGTTTGAAATTTGTGACACATCCAAGCTTTCAGATTTGACATCTGATGGCTATAGGTGATTGTTGCTTTCTTCGGTTCTTGTACCAAAGAAATATGGTCTTATTGTATACAATCCCTTCGAAAAATCACTTTGAGACTTTTCCTTGAAATTACTCTGGTGATCATAAAGTGGATTCCAAAATTTCAGATGGAGAAAAACTTCCTAACAAGGTGTTTTGCGCAAGGGAGTAAATGCACAATGTAATACTGGACATTGTTGAAATACTCGGCTCTGGCCTCACTTGAGTTTAGTAACTTGGGTAAGTCCAAGTGGACTCGCTCGAGTACTGTACAAGCATGAAAATGCCTTTAAAAAGCAAAAAAGAAGAAAAGAATACAAGGACAAAAGCCAGAAAAAACTGAAAAAGGGAAATAAAATTTGGAAAGATGGAGTGAGAGAGCATTTGTGAAGGGCGGTATGGGCGGGGGGGCGGGGGGGGGGGGAGGAGGAGAGAGAGAGAGAGAGAGAGAGAGAGGTAGGTGTTGGTGGTAGAGAGTAGTACTACTACCGTAGTAGTGTAGTAGTAGTACTAGTAGTACGTACTACGTCGTACCCTACTTAA